TGGGTCTCGAACCCGCGGGCTCAGGCAATCCACTCACCTCAGCCTCCCAAAGGCGCGGGATTACAGGCTGAGCCATCGAGCCCAGCTCCCTTTTCTTTACCCCCACCATTTTAAATAGGATGTACTGATGGTGACTGATTTATTTAGTCTGCATGTCCTGGGTTATCAATGGAAAGACTGCAGCTAAACGAGAGGAGGAAAGAGCATCACTCAGAGATGAATGCAGTGACCAAGAAGATTTTGGATCGCCTCTTTTAGGGAAGATGATGAGGATGTTTTCTTTTCTTTTTTTTTTTGAGTTGGAGTCTCACTCTGTCACCCAGACTGGAGTGCAGTGGCCGCTCCCGGCCACCGCAGCCTCGATCTGCTGGGCTCTAGCGATCCTTCTGTCTCAGCCTTCCGAGTAGCCGGAATTACTGGCGTGCGCTACCACGCCTGGTTGATTTTTTATTTATTGTAGAGATGAGGTCTCGCCAAGTTGCGCAGGCGGGCCTCGAACTCGCGGGCTCAGACAATCCACTCACCTCAGCCTCCCAAAGCATGGGATTACAGGCTGAGCCACCGAGCCCGGCTTGAGGATGTTTTCATTTGTACAAAATAAGTTGTAATATGTTAACATGTAATATGGTCATATATAATATGTCAGATGAGGACTATGGCACATACTGGGCTTGCACAACACCTATTTTACTCTTGTCTCAGAATGCCTTCCTGCAGGGCAGAGGCTGGAAAGCTGAAAGGTATGCCTCCCAGAATTCCTTGGGGCCTGGTTTCCAGATTTGGATTGCTTGGATTCAGCCAAGCAGTTGTATCCTGAAGGAATTGGATTTGGAACTGAATTATCTGAGGGTACACACTGGCAGAGATTTGGAGGAGGTAGTAGCTGTGGCTGTGGCATGCTGATTCCCAGGCATTCCCCTAATTTAGCAGGAGGTATTTCAATTCAGCAATTTTTTTTTTGAGTTGGGTTCTCACTCTGTTGCCCAGGCTGTAGTGTAGTGCCACGCTCATGGCTACCACAGCCTCGACCCACTGGGCTCAGGTGATCCTTCTGCTTCAGCCTTCCAAGTAGCTGGAACTACAGGTATGCAGTACTGTGCCTGGCAATTTTTAAAATTTATTGTAGAGACAAGGTCTCATCAAGTTGCCTAGGCTGGTCTCGAACCCCTGGACTCAGGCAATCCTCTTTCCTCCGCCTCCCAAAGAGCTGGAATTACAGGCATGAGTCACCACACCTTGGCTCAAGCAATTCTTTCATCTCAACCTCCCAAGTAACTGGGATTACACATGTGTGTCACTGTGTCTGGCTCGAAAGCTGTTTTAAAAATTAAGGATTCTGGTTAGGTGCAGTGGTTCACACCTATAACTTTAGCACTTCAGGAGCCCGAGACAGGAGGAATACTTGAACCCAGGAGTTTGAGAGCAGTCTGATCATCATAGAGAGAACTTGTCTCCACAAAAAAATTAAAAAATTATCTGGGCATGGTGGTGTGTGCCTGTAGTCTCAGCTACTTGGGAGGCTGAGGTAGAAGGATTACCTGAGCCCAGGAGGTTGAGGCTGTTGTACACCATGATCTTGTCACTGCACTCCAGCCTGCGAGACAGAGTGAGACCCTAACCCAAAAAAAAAAAATTAAGAATTAAAAATTTTGAGAGAAAATACAGGAATTAAGCATTCCACTGAAGAAGTTAGAGGAAAATATAACAAAACATATCGAAATAAGTAGAAAGAATTAATAAAGATGAAATGGCTGATAAGAAGCAAATCAAAAACTAAAATGTAGCCTTAATTTTAAAAAATGCTGCTATATTGAAAACACTTTTAAAATTAAAAAGTCTTTGGTCAGAATGGCCAAGAAAAAAATTTGTAGAA